AGTTCCTGATTCAGCAGTCCAGACTCTGTCCCCATGAAGCTTCAGAATCTGTTCACTGTTTAGAGGTGGGAGCTGCCTTGGCATTTGAGGCAGGCCCTTTTCTGGGGCAGTGCGGGGGGGGGGAGCCTTTGTTTTCTAAGAACTGTAGAACTGTGGAAGATTTCATTATGCTTTTATATGCATTCCTAGGCCCAGAATTCAGCAAATGTTATGTGGAGAAAATTGGTTATGTGTTTAAGGCCCTCTATGTTCTAATTTGTCATCCCAGCACATGTGGCCACTTTGCTGGTTCCTCCTTCCTCCATTAAAGTCCTCCTTCTGGGCAAAACTTGATCTTTAGTGAGTGCCCCAAATTGGCAAGTGTCCCAGACAGGGGTGGGGAGGGATGGGGGAACAGCTGGAAAGCCTCATCTCATTTTGTTGCAATAGGGACATTAACCTGCTGTGACCTATTGGATCCTACCTTGAAGCAGAAATCTGGGCTTTTAAAACTCAAACTGAATTTTTTTTCTTTTCAAACTATTGTCTCTAGCAAGTTAAAGTTGACCTTTTTTTCTTGACAAATAACTGCTATAATATCACTCCATGGAGGCTCTGGCTGTCAAAATGTGCATTTCACACTGTAGGACATAACCCATTAGTGGGGTAGGAAATTGATTTAGTAGGTCTTGCCAGCATCTTTTAATGACAGAATAGAGCATATTAGATCAGAGGGCATCACACATAGTCAAGATCCACATTGTGAAACTTTTGTTACACTTCTGTGTGTGTGTGTGTGTGTGTTTTCTGATTTATAGTGCAAAACCTATTTATTCCTATGGGTTGCAATTCTCCCCCCAAATGTAAGAGCCACTGAATTTTAGTTTAAATGGGGGAAAAGCCAAGACAGAGGAAACAAATGCTTAGAAACAAACCTGTTAGTTGAGGATGGACAACCTTTTGAAGTTTGGTGGAAAGCGGGAAGCAGACTGATTGGAAACTGCTCTCTGGCCCCAAAGAGCAAGAGGGAGCCCACGAGAGGGATGAACTACAAGCACCGAGAAGAAACCCTGGGAGGCCTCACTCCTGAGGAGACTGCAGGAGGCTAGGAGGAAGGGTGAAGAGAAGTGACTGGACCAGGGTTGGCAAAGGCCTTGGAAACCTGCGAGCAGACTGTAGTTCTTGGTGCTAAATCATGGACAGAATATGAAGAGCCTTGTACTTGGCTCAGGAGAAAGGTCACTTGAGAGCAGGAACCTGCATGGGGCTGGGGAGAGCTTCTTTTGCTCACCTGTGGTTGGAGTTTCAGGGTCTGGAACAAGTGCTGTTCTGCTCACCTTCCTCCTGCTTCCCCAACACCAAATACAGGGGACTGATCTTTCCATGGAGGCCACCTGATGCAGTGGAAAGAGCACTGGCTTTTTGTAGTCAGAAGAACCTGACTCTCAGCCCACCACCTTGTGGGCATGGCTCACAGCTGGCTCATATCTAAAACAGGGCGGTAAGACCTTCAGGACAGGGTGGTTAGAGGTGTATGTGGACCCCATCACCATGCTCAGAGTCGGGCACGTCATATTGAGTGCTCAGGAACTCAGAGCTACTTTTACCCCCAGGGACCATACTGGGATTAGGAGTTTTAGAGGAAGATTGGACCACACTGACCTGGCTGATTCCAGCCCTGCAGTCCCCAGGTCCTCCTGGGTTGCTCAACAACTAGGCACCATCTTGAGTCTCTCTGAGGCACCGCATTCAGCAAGCTCAGGCAGAGAAGCAGGCACAGGACACAGCACAGTGGATGAAACACTTGCTTTGTCACTAACTGGGGAGGTCCCAACTGGGTCAGTCCAGCATCTCTGTATTTGCCCCATTTCAGGAATTGGTTCCTAACCCAGTGGCTGGCCTTGGACCTTAGGGCATGAAATCTGGGCCTGAGCCCTGCCTGGGTTCTCGGTCAGGGGTCTGGCCTTCTACCATGATTCAGACACACCATGCCGATCTGCTGGAATTTGGGGAAAAGATTTCAGTGCAATCGTGCCTCAGTGTAGGGTCTGACCCTCCCTTCTCAGCCTAGCTAGTGCTATGTGTCCCTTCCAGACCTGGCTCAGTCATCAGCTTTTACTTACCCCCACCCACAGCTTAGGTTAGATGCCCTTCCTCTGGCGCCCACCAACCCCCATGCCACTGACCCTGGTTGGCACTCAGCTTGTTGGCAAGTAGGTACTCTGACAAGTAGGTTGCTGCTCTGGCAGTTTACTTAGTGAATAAACTCTCAAACCCAGGCCCTGGTTTTCTGCTCAGTTACCTGTTCTCTGAAGCCTCTGCTTGCCAGCGACTGAGCCACATTTCAGGTTTCCAAGAACAGGAGGCAGCCCAAAGGGGACRGCCCACCCCTAGCCACAGCCTGCAGGGTTTCAGCTCACCCTTGGAGGAGCCCAGGTTACCTGGATGTGCCTACTGTTTCATTCAGCTTTTTTTCACTGTGSCCAAAAGACCTGACAGATACAACTTCAAGGGGGAAAAGATTATTTTGGCTCATGGTTTCAGAGGTTCAGTCCATAGATGGTTGATTTCATACCTCTGGACCTGAGGGGAGGCAGCAGCTCATGACTGAAGGACATGTTGGAGGAAGGCTGCTCATTTCGTGACAGCCAGGAAACAGAGAGCAAGCTCTGTTCAACAGGGACAAAAGACAAACCCCAAAGGCACGCCCCCGCCCCCCCCCTCCCCAAGGATTGCCTTCCTCCAGCCACACCCTACCTGCCTACAGTTTCCACACAGTTAATCCATATCAGTGGACGGATCCACTGATTAGGTTTCAGCTCTCATAATCTAATCATTTCCCCTCTGAACATTCTTGCCTTGTTTCATGCACGAACTTTGTGGGGACATCTCATATCTAAACCATAACAGCTATCAGTTGTGAAAGTTCCATTTTTGAGAAGACCTGTTGTTGAAGATTTGTATATGGAAACAGTGTGACGACATCTTTTGACTCTCATGGAGATATTATCTCAACTCTGCTAAGGGCCACAGTCAGGGACCAGGAGAGGACATTTCTTGACAAAAAGAGCCCACTAACGGTTGACAGATAATCAGAATGCCTCTGATCACCTTCCCTTGGGCCTGTGGTAAATGGTAGGGAGAAGAAAAGGCAAGTTCAGGGCAAGACCCAGCCAGTCAAGGTAACCCATCTCTGAAGTTTCCAGCCGCCTCTGTTACGTCCCATTGCCAAGGTGAGGTACTCTTGGAGGCATCCAATCTACTCTCCCTACCCTGGGGCCTCTTGGGGTCCACTTGACCTTGGAGCAGCAGAAGGGAGTGGGGGCAGGAGGCTACAACCACTCTCACCTAATGGCTACATGGGTGGCTGGGATGCCAATGAGAGCTTGCATCACACTGAGAGCCTCTGCAAAGCCCTCAGGACACAGGATAGTGAAGTCCCCTTAGGTTTGGGATGGAGGGAGAGACTCTCAAATGGGAAGGGAGTGGGTTCCCTGGATGTGTAAAGTTGGCTCCAAGTCACTTACTAAAAGAATGTCCTCAGAAATGACACTGATCTTCAAAACCTCAAGATGGGACTGGGGATATAGATCAGTCACTAGGGCCCAATATGGGAGAGGTCCTGGGTTCAATCCCCAGCACTTGCCCCTCACCCCCACGCACCAAAATGCCACTTCATCCCCACTAGAATGGCTATTAAAACAAAACAAAACGAGAAAGATTGTTGAGGATGTGGAGGTGAAACCCTCTGCATTGTTGGTGGGAATGGAAAATGGTGTAGCTTTGGAAAAATTTGGTGTTTCCCCAGGGAGTAACCCATATAACCCAGCAATTTCACTCTGAAGTCTGTATCCAAGAGAAATGAAGACAAATGTTCAGACATGTACAGGAATATTCATTGCAGTTTTATTCATAGCAGCTGGAAATTGGAAGCCTAACTATCCATCAACTAATGAATATATAAGCAAAATGTTGTATTTACATGCAATAGAATATTATTCTGTCATGATAAGGAATTAAGTACTAACATGTGAGGACACATATGGACCACGGAAACATCGTGCTAACTGAAAACAACTAGTCACAAAAGACCACATGTTGTGTGATTCCATTTAGGGGAAATGTCCTGAATAGGCAAATCCACGGAGACTGGAAAGCAGATTAGAGGTTTCCAGAAGCTGGGGGGCGGGGAGAATGAGGAGTGACTGTTCGTAGGGTTATTTGGTGGTGGTGAAGGTGGGGTGATTAAAACGTTCTGGAATTAGATCAGAGTGTTGGCTGCACAACTTTGTGAATATCCTAAAAACCATTGGGTTGTATACTTGAAAAGGTGGAATTTTATGGCATGTGAATTTTATCTTAAAAATTTAAATGGGGCAGGGGGTACGATGCGGATGCGGGGGTGAAACAAACGAACTCGTGTAGAACGTCGCCTCTCGCCATTATCCGCATGAACTTTGGGCTCTGGATCTTAGCACCCAGAGGGCCTCAGGGAAACGACTAGGGCTGCAGGACCTAGGAAGAAGACGGCTGGGGACTTGAAGGGGACGCGGTTAATTAAGGTGGTGGCCTGGAGCTGCCCAGGACTGGGGCAGAAGTTGGCCCGGAGATTTAAAGGCTGGAGCGCCGATGCTTTTAAAGCGACCGGGGCGAATTCCCATTCGGCGCCCACCTCCAAGCCAGCTGCCCCGCGCTGCGGGTGGGCTCTGGGTAAGTGGGGGAGGCAGCGGTTTGGGGCCCGGCGGGTGGCCTGGCCTGCGCACCCTGCTGGGCCCTGGGGACTCGGCGCGGGTGGGCCGGACCCTATCTCGGCGTGCGTCTGCGGGGGCCGGGGTGCTCGCGGGGGCGACAGGGACTCGGCTCGGTGGCCGGGCTCCCCCGGCGCCCGCGGTGGCGCTCTATTTTTAGCAGGCGCTGTTGCAAYATAAGGAATGCGCGGCGCGCCAGGCGCTCCGGGCGCGCGAGGGCTGCGCGGTCGCTTTAAGGAGGCGCCGGGGCGGGGACGGCCGGGGCGGCCGGCGGGCTGGCTGGCGGGGAGCCGTCAGTCCAGCTGCCGCGGGGCCCGGCGGGCGCGGCGCTGCCTCCTCCCGGGCACGATCGTGGAGGAGGCGGCCTGCGGGCCAGAGGCGAGCGTGGCCGGAGCGCGCGGTGAGTGGCMGGCAGCCGGGAAGGGGAGGGGGCCCGGCGCGCCGCCCCCAGGCCGGGCGGGCGCTTTGTTCCGGGGCGGGAGGTGTGGCCGCCCCCCGGCTCCGCAGAGCTCTCCACGCGCGGGCTGCGTCCTGGGACTGGCTGTGCGTGGCCTTTTGCCCTCGTCGCGGGCTGCCGCGTAACGGTGTRCGATTGAGAGATCGGTCCGCCACCAAGACCCCAGAGGGGAGGGCCTGCTCGCGGCTCGGGGACCCTTCCACGGTAATTACCCTGGGGTTCCTCGGAGGGGAGGTGGGCTGCGGGACCAGGTCGGAGCGCGGGGGGGGGGGCTCTTTCCTCCTTTAAAATGGCCTTAACGGGGGCCAGGGATCCTCCCGGAGAGTTGTCAGATTCATCTGAATTATAAAAAAGCAGCCTGCTGTATAAACAACTCTTAACTGTGCCTGGATTTGGGGAGGTGGGGCTCTGGTCACAACTGAGGCCTGGGCTCATGCATAGAACTGATGCAGCAGGGTCCCCACGGTGTGTCAGGCATGGTGCCAGCTCCTCCCCCGCCAGAAAGAGTGACACCCCAGAGTGGTTTGTGTTGGGCTCTGGGAAGCCCAGGGGTGTGGGAGCCCACTCCAATATGGGAGGTCAGGGAAGGCCTCCTGGAGGAGGTGATGCCTGGCAGCAGCGGGGGCCCTGGACACCCAGTTAGATCCTAGATGCACAATGGCCCCTGCTGAAGTGTAGTCTGGAGAGGGGAACAAAGACCTCTTCACCCGGGGGTTTGATCAGAGCTTCAGGACTCATGCTCTCTCCTGGACCAGTTCAGAGAGGGTGACTGATGAGACTTGCAGTTGTAGCCTCCAACCTAGCTGCAGGAGTAAGCAGATCAGACCTAAAAGCCTGGGAAGACCCCAGTAATAACCGCAGGACTAACAAGGATGAAGCACTTGAGGTGGACTTGCTCATCATTTGCCAGTGCACCTCCAGAAAGATTTTATGATTATCCTTGTATGCAAATGGTGAAATTGGGCCTCAAAAGAATCAACAACTTGCCCAAGATCATATCTAAGCCCATGCTTTTGGCCATGTGTCTGTTCTGGCCCCTGTTGTGAAAGTCTGGCTGTGAGGGGCTCAGATGCTCTTGGTGCAGCCTATGTTATGCATTTAGAATACAGCATTCTCTGCAGACTCACACTGGTGGGTTCAAGTGTGAGGTAGTGGTTGTGTGTATTATTAATAACTGACACGTGTCAGGGCTCAGCCGTGAACAAAGCACTTTCATAGAGACAGATCTTAGAGTTTCTTCTGCTTCTTTTCGCCGGGAAGAAACTTGAGCTGCTAACATTTTATAAACCTCCCCAATTTCCTGTAAATCGCGTGTCCCTGCTGACTGGGGCTGAAAATGTTTCAGGCCATGGTTTTCACCCGTGGGTCTGTTCACACTGCCCAGCAGCCAGTTAACATCTCTGTCTGTGGTTTGTGGTGTAGTTTGGCCTTTCTCTGCCAAGGGTGGGAGGCATGGGCTTTGGTGTTCTGGGGGCTTCAAGGTCTGCCAACCTCTTTGGGGGAGGGGGAGGGGGAGGGTGTTGAGTAAGCCCAATGCGCTGGTGGAAACTACCCCCTTYCCCCTGATGTGACCTTGTCATTTCCTAATGCAGAGGGGAGGTGGTCAAGGCCCCCTGGGGAGGCAGCTTACTGCTTTTCAGAGTAGTTACCTTTGTTCCTGCATAAAGCAGATTCTGTTTTCCAATTCTCATGTTTTCAGCTATATATAAGACATTTTTGTGACAGGTGTAACTTTTATATTAGTATTGACTCTAGTCACAGGTATTTTACACTTTCTTATTAAGGGACAAGTCAGCTACCCCCTGGGGTTGGTTTCTGAGCTCCAGTGGTCATCTGGAACAGGAGGGACTGCTGGCTCTGATAAATTGAGCTTCTGGGGTGACTGGTCCTAACATCAGTCAGAATCACATATTGACCAGGCTTCTGTGTCTAGTGARTTCTCAGGGAAATATGACCTCTGGTCTGTGGTTTTTTTACCTGGCTTAATCATTATAATTTATTCTACCAATGAAATGCCCTAAACAGAATGTGCCTCCCTGAAAGTGATAGCAGACATATCTGCTCGGGAGCACTCTGTAGTTTGTATAAGCCATACTCATGTGAACCAAGTGGGAACAGGTTCTTGTGCAGAGCTGGAATGTTCTCAAGTGTCCAGAGGGCATGCATGAGTTCCAGAGGCTCAAGACCTGCCAGGCCTGAGCAGGTATGAACCAGCTATGAGGTAGTCAGTCACCTTTGTCTGGACATGGGAAAATCTAAGGAAGGATCTGGGTGAGTTCCCTGTGACCTGGGGCATCTGGCAGGTACCCATTGTCTGGGGACTGAGCAGAGAATTAAGCTTGGAGAGGAATTATTTTGGTAAACTCTCTGAGGTCTTGCCCTCATCATCTTTGACACTGCCTCCGGGCTTTGTATCCTGAATCAGTGGGGATGCTTTTGGCTGCAAGTAGCAGAACGAAAACAGCAGTAGATTAAACAGACCTCCGATCACCCAAACATGCTCTCAGCTCTTRTGAGGTCACTGTGTACTTGTGGCAAGTTCTTGCACGGTACAGGTAGCCATGAAAGCTGAGGGTCTGGAGTTCAGAGTTACAGTTTTAGAATCACTGCCTTTTTAAGATGTTAATGAGAGGTTCAGAAAAAAAATTGTTTGATGTGCAGAGTTGGGTGGATAATTCAGGGGATTCATGGAACTTTGAAAATGAGCCCTTCATCCATGTTGCCCACCCCTCATCTAAACCATGCTGCTTCAATAGTGTTTACTGAAGACCTGCTTAATAAGCCAGCCAGGCCAGCATATCATCCAGGGCAGACTGGGAGGGCAGAGGTGGTGTCAGAGGTACAGAAAGTAGTGACTTTACTGTTACCCAGCCTGCGGTAAAGTCAGTGAGCTCCGCGGTCTGACTTCACAAGGCCTCACTGATGTGGTGGGGGATGAGGGAAGGCTGGGTTGTGCTCCTGGGCACCTGCCCTGTAATCCATGGTGCCCATCTCTTGTTCTCCAGGGAGCATTCCTGCCACATGTGATGAAGTTGGTTTGATCTATTCCCAGAGGGCCCCCAGCCCTCCTTGGCCTGGCCCCACCACGGGGCCTTATGCAGCCAGTGTGTTCCCAGGCTGCTCTCTGCAGCCATTGCTCTTGTGGGAGTCATGAAGCGGCCATGTGAATGTAGCTTCTTAATGTCCCTAATATTAATGTCCTTTCCTATTCTTGGCAGCTTCACAAGATGGGGGCCTGCTGATGGCCAGATGGCCAAATGACAATGTGGGTCATCACCAGTTGCTGAGTTGACATTCTGGGGCTCAGAAGGGCATATTCTCTGTCTAGAGAGCCGGGCAGCAGGCTTTTCCATGGATGAAGCATCACAATTTTAATACGAGTTGTTCCACTAGTGAGATCGCGGGCAGTGCCAAGACAAGGATGGATTCGGCTGTGCCACATGAAATAGTGGAGCCCAGGGGGTGGGATGGAGAGTTGGAGCTCTGCGCTCCACTCCTGGTCCTCTGTGACTATCTACAGGGCTTGGGTGGGGCCTGYGCTGTGCTTCAAGGGCCCAGGCTCCATCTGTGACTTCTCTGCCTGGCCCTCAGGGTTGTCAKGGGGATTAGATGCAATACACAGATGAAATATGCTGAGAGATGAGAAAGGACCTGCGGATGCCGAGCATTATCAGTGTTCAGGCAACCTCAGATAACAGAACCCTGCGCCCGACAGGGCCCCAGAGCATGTTTAGTCTAGATTCATACCCAGCAGAGCACATTTCTCATCGTGAGGGGGAGATGGTTCTGTGGGACACAGACAGCCTCTTCCATCCTAATGGTTACATACTTGTTTATATGCATTGTAAAAAAGCATCACATCAAACCCGTTTCCAAATGAATATTTTACTCACATTAAGGCTGAAGATTATAAATTGAAAGCATGCTTTTTTTTTTAAAGTATAGTGATTTTAAGGTAGGGATTAATAATAGTAGTAGACAAATATGGCCAGAGTGGGAAAGTGACCCTCTGAGCCAAGACTAGGGAATTGTCGACAGCTACCAAGGATGGGGCTTTGTCTGTGAGTGGACCCTTTTAGAGATGAGGCTCCTGCTGCCCTTCAAATCAGTCCACTCCCCTTAGGGCCCGTTCATCCTTAGAAAGCCGTTTCCTTTCTCCCCTTAACCTGTTCCATAYAAACCTTCCACAGTCTTGCTTTTCTCCACCATGAGCAGTTTTACTTTCTCAGCTTCTCCAATGGCATGGTTTGAAGACAGCTTCTTTGTATCACTGCTTCTCTTCCTCCCTCTCTCCTTCCCTCCCTTCCCTCCAGACATCCCTATGTTTTTCCTTCAACAAAGACTTGTGGGCCTTCCCTGTGCTGTACTCTTCCTACTCACTAGCTCTAAGCCTCACAACAGTCAGCCTTTCACAGATTTGGATACTGAGGCTCAGGGAGTTAGGTGGGGCCCCACAGTTTGTCACCTGAGAGAAACTGAGGCAGAAAGGAGTCTGACTGGGTTATGTTCTAAAGCACATGCCCCTTCTACTACGCCTGTTGTCCCCAGGACTGGAGGCACAGTCCTTTCTCTGCTGGCACTGAGGGTGTGACTATATATAATCAGTGGTACCATCAGCCCAGGGCCCCTGAGGAGAGGGGGCTGTGCATAAAGTGAGGCAGCAGAGGTCATGGAGGGTGTAGCCCTGGACAAGGCAGAGAGAGTCGGCAGTCATCTCCCCCAACTCTCACTAACCCTATATTCAACTGTGAACCCCTAAATCACTTGTGTACTTTATTTTAATTTTTTTTTTCTGGTAGGGGGATTGAATCCAGGGGCACTCTACCACCAAGCTGCTACATCCCCAGTCCTTTTTTTTTTTTTTTTTTTGGAGTCAGGGTCTCATTAAATTGCCCTGGCTGGTTTCAAACCTACTATCCTCCTGCCTCAGACAGGCAAGCGTC